TTCTGTAGTGTGTGATTTTTTTAAAAGCGAAAAATTTATTGCAAAATTTCCACACTACAGATTTTTTTAAAATTTGAAATTTATAAAATTTACCGCAAAATAAATTCGTGGTCAAAATTGGAAGATAGGTCACCGATGAAACTAATGAGTAAAATGCAAATAAAGTTAGAAAATAGCCTCGTGTAACTCGAGAAATTCCCCTATTGAAAAGCGTCGCTGACTAGTAAAAGACTGTACGCGGGCGCAGAACGAGTTTTCATTCAGCAAAATCGAGCCGCAATGTTGTTTTTACTGTTTTGTTTTTGTCAACTTTTCGATTTATTTGAGTGCTATGGACAGCCAAGGATTATTGTGAAGGATTAAATCGATGAAAACAAGGTTGAAGCTAATTGAATCCTGCCGTTTACTCAATCTATGAGCTGTAACAGCTTATTAACAGGTGGACGTGTTTTTTTGTTTCATGTTTGGTTTTGTACTTTTTGCTAAAAATGAACAATTAGGCTATGAAACTGAAATATTTTTCTGTTTACATATAATCACTTTAATCTTGTAGAAACACGACTAAACACGTGACTGTTTTCTTGACAAGTAAACAACTTTTTAAACGTTTGTATGCAATTTTGCAAATGTTTTACAGTTGAGTCAGTTGACAGTGTATAAAAAAATTAAAATATTGTTTCGTAGCTATTTTTTGGTCTAGTGATATTCGTATCATATGTAGAATTGCTGTATAGACTCGCAAGTGATTTGGCACTCAAAACGAAGTATTATTCAACGCTTTTTCCCATTAGAAACCTTTCAGAAATAGCTTTATTTTAAAAAAAGCATGGTCAATTTTTGTTTTGTTTTGATCATGCAGTTGCGTGGGATAGTTCACGTACTTGTCCCGCGAACATCCCGCACGGAACTGTAGGGAGCCTCCTTAATTGTGGCTGCAAAGGCTTTTGACGTTTGGTAGAAAACACCATAGACTTAGTTTTATCAGAAGTTATGGTTACAAGCCATTTATGAGTCCATATGTATTTATAAGCTCAATATCATCATTTAGCTTTGCCGCAATAACGTCAGAATCATCGACTACTTCAAGTAAGGATGTATCGTCAGCATAAAGAAAAGAACTGCTCTGAAGGTCGGTAGTAATATCATTGATATAGATTAGAAGCAAAGGACCTAACACAGAGCCTTGGACCTGATGACATACCATACTGGTTTTGGAAGACGTACGCAGTGATATTGACTCCTGTTATAACGAGAATATTTAATACTTCTCTGAAGAGTGGGAAGATTCCGAATGTTTGGAAAAGAGCTGATGTGATACCCAGTCCAAAAGAAAACTCAATTAATTCCTGTTCCTGTTCCCAACTTAGACCTATCTCATTAACAGATATCATTATGCACCTATTTGAGAAATGTGTGTATCAAAGTGAAGTTGCTACAAGTAGTGCATAATTATATTGGGGATGATCAATTTGCATATAAAAAAGGACATAATTCTACCATGGCTCTAATATAATATCAATATATGTGGAAGACCGTTTTGACCGTTATGGTCAACTTGCCCTGAAACAGTTGGGATTATAATAATAATAATTATTATTATTATTATCTGTCTAAAATAAAATGCATAAAAAACTCATATAACAGGTCCTCGACTATAAAATATCACAGGTTACGCCTACGGCTTCCCCGATTTCCCATTCCCTGTTTTAAAGATGTGAGCACTGCAGGACCTTATTACATGAAGTAGCAACAACGCAACCAATATGGCTGATAAATGATAATAACTTACTGACCGAGAGTGCGGGCAGTACGGGAAAATATCCAACCGAGGTCTTGCTATATTGACCGAGCGATAGCGAGGTCAATACAGCAAGACCGAGGTTGGATATTGTCCCGTACCGCCCGAACGGTTGAGCAGGGCCGGATTAACGTTCCGCGGGGCCCGTGGCATATTATCAGCGCGGGGCCCCTTGACCCCCCCCCCCCAACCTTCCAACGGCATTTTAGACAGTACGATTAAAAAATATCCTCTTGTATTTCATGCGTTGAAAAGTTTCAGTGTGTATTTACAAACAAAAATAATTATACATCAATAATTTGATCGAACTGAATTTCAACCTAGTTTATACCATTAACATTACTATTACTTAGGCCTGTTTCATACGTCGAATTTAATTCAGACGAATTTAATTCGTTATTAAATTCGTCAATTGGTCGACACTAAAATGGTTTCGTTTCAAACGACGAATTTAATTCAGACGAATTCATTTCATGTCTAGCGATCATGGATTACCCAGAAGTAAAAACCACGAGACCAGAAAGAGAGAAACAGACTTTAACATAATTTATGCATTAAATTCGACACGACGATAACACGTCGTATGAAACGAAGACGCGCTACAGACGTTGTATCCGTCTGACCATGACGGATACAACGTCTTGGACGAATTTAATTCATCAGATGGATTTAATTCGTTTCATACGACACACTAACGTCGCATTTAATTGGTTCAATTAAATTCGTCTGAATTAAATTCGACGATAGTACGACGTATGAAACGAGCCTTACGGGGGGGGGGGAATAGCTAAACATGATACCGTCCATATGAGTTTAACTTCTGCCGTCTTCCACAAAATTCAGCAATCTTTTAGTATTTAACAATATATACTGCTAATTTTGATATTTTCTCAGACCCCTATGACTTTTTTGGCTTCGCTCTTTGGAGCCCCTTGCCCAGAGAAGGAACAGAAAAAAATTGTTTGCTGCCCTGCTTTTGGAGCCTCGCTTTTTAAACTTTGGGGCCTCTTGTTTTTTTATTGGGGGGGGGCTTCGATTTTTGGGACCTTGGACTCTTTGGGGCCCCTCGCTGTTTGGATCCTGCGCTGAAACAGGAAACAAAAATACCGTTTCGGCCCGGCTATTTGGGACCTCGATTTTTAAATTTTGGGGCCTGACGTTTTCTGAGGACCTTGCCCTTTGGCTCTTTGGGGCCCCACGCTGAAACAATGAAACAGGAAACAAAAAAACGTTTGGGCCCGTCTTGATGGGGCCTCGCTTTTTAAATTTTGGGGCCCTCGTGTTTTCTGGGGGGACTTGGGCTCTTCATCTCATAAATATATCTCTTTTTATCGGAAAAACCCAGAAATTTTCAGAGAAAAATATAAATCTGTGGCTGCTTTAGTTGTATTTTTTATTTAGGATGGTGTCAAATTCCTCGGCTATCTGCAAATAAGATGTGCAGCTCTTCACAAAGTCAAAACACAGCTATTCCTGACTTCTTTAATAGTAATAAACATTGTAAAACTTACCTTGTAATTTCGACTTTCGCTAACAAAAACATATTGAGAAAGAAGGTGCTCCTTTTCTTTAGTTTAGGTTTATTTTTCTTCGTTTTGAATAGTTTTGAAAGACTTTTAGACACTTTTTGCCGTTTGAAACTCTGCTCTTGTCGCATGGCAAAACAATTTAGTGATGGGCGATTACCAGTGGCGATTACCGACATATGATCAAAGATTAGATACTATAAAGTATCTAATCTTTGATCATACATCGTGCAATTAGCAGAAAATTATGTAACCCCCGGCCCCGCCATCCTCATGCTAACTTAAATCCGCCCATAAATAAGTCTTTCAACGATTAAGACAATTAAGACAAACGACATTTGTCGTACGAAAAGTTTCAAAAGGGAGAGCGATTTTCTTCTTCTGATGAATGTGAACGAGTAGATAATCATGTGCATCATGGAGCATTTTGAAAGAATTCCAGCCAGTATCTGCTTTATACACACTCCCTCAGCACAAAAACAAGGCACAGTAAAATTTTGACCTTAATTTGTTAAATTTTCACTGTACCAAATCAATGTGCAATCACTGTGATGTTAGTTTATTTATAAGTATTCATCAACAATTATATTATTTGATATGTTTCATAAGGATTAAATCATGTCGGTGTAAACATCAGATGTTAATTAGTCTTGTTATATAAAATATTTCATGAATTTTTTGCTTCATGTATGAAATTAATCGTTAAAATTTCAATCGTATACTCGCGAAGAGACTCTGCGGGTCTCTGCCACTCCATACGTCGCCGCCATCTTGAAAAATTTATGATGTATGATCAAAGATTAGATCTCAAACATTTCTGCCCTCCTTTTGACGTGTCCAGGATGTAATACATTCCAAATATATGCAAATGGTCGAAACTGGCAACGTAACGGAAAGCATCCGTATAACTTTTTTTTGTTGGAAGGATACAGCGCAAGAGGTACATGTGCCCTCACCTAAACATTCATAACTCATTCACTCATTCACATCCATCAGAAGAAGAAAATCGCATCGGAAATCGCAGCAAAATTTGAAAGTGTAAACGAGCCTTAACCTTAATCCTAACCTTAATCCTAACCTTAATCCTTAACCAAATTAGATACTATACTATACTATAGTATCTAATCTTTGATATGATTACCGATTAGTGGCGATTACTTGGTATCGATACCACCCGATACCAGGCCCAAACAGGAAGTAGTCGATACTGCACGGTATCTGTGACGGTATCGAAAAAGTGTTTCGATTACTTTTAAAATTAGACATTCATTATAATCCTGTAGTTGTGTCATCGTTTTCATGGTTATTTCTAATAAAATTTGTGTACTTTTTGGTATTTTGCTGCATTTATCAATTTAATCAAACCAGGGGCGGCGGAACAGATTTCATTCTGGGGGGGCTAAATTTTTTCGGCGACCTCCCCCCCCCCGTCGCCAAAAAAATTTCGGTCAGTGAGTGTACCACTTTAGGGGTATAATATACAAAAAAAGGGACGAAAAAAATTTTGTATCGTATCGAAACCGATACTGGTGGTATCGCCCATCACTAAAAAAATTGCGTATTGCCCGTGGGCAATACGGGAAAATCCTCGTCAGCAGCCAATCAAATTGCGTGATTCATCAAAACAAATGCTTGCCATATAATAATAATCCTTATTACATGAAGTATTTCCTGCAACCAATATGGCTGATGATTGTTCTTGTTCGAAGTTCTTTCAAAAAAGTGTACAATATATCTTTAACTATTTTCAAAACTAATCGTTAAAAACATATAATCAAAAGATAGCTAATCTTGTAGTAGAAAATGTGTGAATTTCAAGCAATAATAATGGCAGCAGGTCGTGGTTCAAGAATGTATCCTTTGACTGAAAATTTTCCCAAATCAATTCTTCCTGTTGGTAATCTTCCTCTCATCTGGTACCCGCTCAATCTCTTACTTTCCTCGGGATTTGAAGGTAGGAACACTTGAAATGTTGTATATAATAGGTGATATATATACTCATATATACTCATGTTAAATATTAAATTTTAATTATAGTTGTATGAAGTGGCTACTGGCTATTAAAGCCGGCCTAAAACTGGAGACTGAATCGAATCACCTGATTAACAGTTGTTATTTATACTACCTTAATTTTAAAACACTTTTTGTCCACTCTTCCCCCCTAAAGATGTACAGTGTATCATAATATATTATATATACAAAGTGACTACCGGGTGTCCCAAAAAAAAGTACTCCGGTTTGATTTATAATAACTTATAAACAAGTAAAGCTATCAAATAGAAATAACTTGCATTAAATAGAGGAAGGACTAACTTAGATTTTGATATATTACTGTTGCATTTTACTTAGAAATTCACGGAGATATTAATGTTCAAAATCGGGAGCATATTTTGGGATGTGCCTTAGGCCCGGTTTAGACGCGGTGCTTATCATGAGCCGAACTTAATGTTAATTAACTAAGTTCTTTGTTTAAGCTCATTTGCATTAAGTTCGGCTCATGAAAAGCACGGCGTCTAAACCGGGCCTAAAATTAGCGAAAATCGGCATATCAAATATTAACTCCAGCGTTTGTTTGCTTAAATTAATTTAATAAATGACATATCAGGCTAACTTGTATTTCAGCGAATTGTCGTTAGGGTTTGTAAGGGATATGGCGTAGATTTAGACATCTTACATGTAAGTCTTAGCTCATTGTTTCCTGAAATATGAACGTTCGAAATTATGCAAGTATTTAATAGGTCTTTACAAACTTAAAGGTTCATGAAAGACCATGCAAGGCAGGCGCTTAAATTTTTCTTAAATAGCCTAATTTTTTTATGTTTTTCATGGGTTCCGAAAACAGAGTTGATCATTTCTTGGTTAGAGTAGGATGAATATTATTCTTTAATGAAGGAAATAATATTGCTTTTTGCAAATACACATCACAGTATCAACGCTACTATTTTGTTACGTTTTGTTCCAAAAATGTTGGATGTCTCTGGGGAGTTGCTTGTTATGTCTTATGTTGTTATGTCTTATGTCTTATGAGTTGTATGGTTTGATTGTGTTTCATTCTCAGTTAATTCTGAACTTGCCAAGATTAAGAAAAGGCAAAAGAGTTTGGGTGTTCTTAACAAAATTTCAGAACGTTGCAGAAGTTAAAAGACCTTCACAATTCCACTGTGACAGCATGCCCTAATTCAGAACTACGAACGATCAATGGCGATCCTTCGCTATGCAGTGGTCTCATGAAATAAGGAAACGTTTTCGTGCTAGGAACACACGCGGGTTTCGGACGAATAAATCTTGCTTGTATTTTATAGATAATAATACTTTGTTTCATAACAAACAATTTGTCAAGTGTCACTTATTTACTGGTAATAGTGCATGTTTCAGTCGGGAAAATCTTGATTAGTATTTGATACGCCGTTTTTTGCATATTTCAGACACATCCAGAAATATGCTCCCGATTTTAAACATTAATATCTCTGTGAATTTTTAAGTGAAATACAACTGTAATATATCAAAATCTAAGTTAGGCCTTCCTCTATTTGATGCAAGTTATTTCTCTTTAAAAGCTTTACTTGTTTAGAAGTTATTACTAATCAAACCGGAGTACTTTTTTTTGGGACACCCGGTATATGGATAATGTTTTGAAAATCAGTCTGTCAAATATTCCCCCAAAGTCCAGGAAATGGCATTTCAGAGACTCTAAATTTAAAAATTTCCTACGGCACTGCTATCCATACTAGCATTTTCACTTCAGTTTTGTTGATTTTATATGCATAATACAGCTTCTATTAAAGAGCTTTCCCGAAGATATTCCAAAATCTATGTTACAGTTTATAAATATTAGGCTGTTAGCAATATGGAAAATTTAGACCAGGAATAAAAGTCACAGTCCCAGCCAGAAATTTTCATATTTTCTGAATCCACTGGGCGAATTTGCTTGGAGAAAGGGAAGTTCACCACGTCCTATTTTTTCACGGCAATTTTTTTCTTGCTAACTATATAACCATACCACTGAATGTACAGTAGTTTTCGCTTGAGGTACACCACCGACTTTACATCTCCAAAAACTAGTACAGAATCCTTGAATTCCTTACTTTTTGAGACGCTCAGAGTATTTTATATTACTAATGGCAATTATTTTTAATAAGAATAATGTCGAATGTTTGTCCCACAATTATTAGAATAAACCCCAACAAAATTTAGAATTTCCAAAATTTCATATCATGACGACCCGCACGCCTATAAATTGAATTATCTTGAAGGTGTTAGTTACCACAGCATTATTAGTCGAGGTGGTAAGAGTGGTGACATGTATAATAAATTTATAGTGAAATAATTTATGCGTGCATGAAATTTAACCCCATATAGATATGATGTAGCAAATAACTAACTGAGCTAACATACAAACCAGGTTGGCATCACCAATTCATAATAATGTTAGCAGACAATGCCGCGCAAAGTTCAAATTGCGCCAAACTGGTCTGAAGAAGAGTGCATTCTGCTTGACAATCGTGTGTATGGATTCAGGATGGAGATCAAGATCGAACAAACTGGCAATATTTTGATGGCTGCTTATTAAAGAATAAAGATTAAAGATTAATGCGAAGTATTTTCAATCAGTAAGGTTAGGTAATAGTCAAAAGGCTATAGCCTATAGGTATTGCAGCACGCATCAGTTATTATTTCTTTGGTATACAGTATGCTAGATACCACGGCTTTCAAGCAGGGCTATCACAACCGCGA